CCCCCCCCCCCCCCCCCCCGTCCCCTAAAAATTGGATTTCGGGTTGGCAAGGACTACGACTATGCTGTGTAATAAAGTACGACACCCATGCAGCCTTCTAGCGCGCACAGAACCGTATTTTTCCCACAGCGCGGAGCATATAGTAGCCAATGCTTCGAACTGTTTGTTCAAAGCAACACAAATCGTGCAAATTGCAATATAAACAAACGAGTGTGTAGCATGTAGTGCCTCTTCCTGCGCAACAATAACTCTCGGTCAATGACTCTATGATGTCGAACAAGATCGCGGCCAAAACGCTGGCATTTGACAGTGCGGAGTGTGTAGTACTGTTGCTGCGGCAATTGGTAAGAATGCAGCAAGTTTCAANNCGTGTGCACCACAAGGGGCCTCCCCTGTTGGCGCTGCGCTTGGTAAGAATGCAGCAAGTTTCAATTTGATTGCTTTGAAACGCATGCGTCTTCAAGACAAGCAGTAACTAGCTACACTTTGGAGTTATCCAGCTGCATCGTGCTGGAGACATGACCCCGCGTCCAGATGTTGCGATTCCAAGAACAAGCCAAAGCCTGGGAATTCTGAGGTATTTTGTTGCAAAGCTTGATTCCCCATTTCCCTTCCAACATAGGGGCGTTGTAGTAAGAAGTGTAGTACGATGTTTATAGTAACGTCTATAAGGCAATGCAGGGAATGTGCATCTTTCGCGAGGGATTGTTGCTCAAAGCCGCAGCACAAAAACAAATACTGACATAAAACACATTCTGAAGCAAATGAACTCCTGCCCGCAAGACCTCACCTGTGTGACCGACCTTTCTGTTGCTTCCCGAAACAATGCACCTGCTTCAAGCACAGCCGGGCCGAGGCAGACGACGCGAAGCGTTTGAAATTACCCCAATTCCCCAAGCTCAAACAAGTGCTTGTAAAGCTGCTAGGTGATTTACATGTGTTTGTGCAGTGTGGTCTGCTTGTTGTTTGTATAGGTCCTTGATGTCTTTGGTGTTGGTTCGACCGTTGTGGCTGTAACAGTTGTACTCTGGACCAATACAGCCATCTATACTGGATGCTTTACTTCGGGCTTTGCGGTTTTTGCTTATACTTGCGCATTCAAACTGCAACCACGAACCTAAATCCACCTAAAATCCCACAAGGCCACCCCGATGTCTGGGACTTGCCGAAGACAATGCCTTCGATGCTCTGGGTCAAATGCCGCAAATGGGTTCATAAACCTTCAAGCGGTTTTCGTCACGGATTTACAAGCTTCGAAGCAGGTGAATGCTCGTGTCTGGTGGTTGTAGCGGCTGCTCTGAGGATTTGCCTATGCTCATGGAACCTGCCATGCCCATAAACTCCAAGGCCACAATGCCAGACTTACAAACCCTGCCCAGGGCCCATTGCGCCAGGCCACATCGCAGGCCAAGGTCAGGAAGCCCTCAAAGGAGCCCGCACAGCAAACCTGCAGCTCTGGGTTGATTGGCAGAATTGAGCCAGGATCCCCATCGAAACAGGATGCCCGTGCTCCCCCAAACGACCTGTTTCCAAACCCTCGGGGAGCAAATCCAGTGTCCAGAGTTGCCGGTTCGGGGTTGTGAAGATAGACCCTTATAGCCCCAAAGCCTCAACGCGCCTTCCGATTGTCTTCTTCTGACCTTCTCTGTTGCAACGTATCTGTGCATGGAAGCAAGCTGTAGAATCGCAGGTGCAGCTCTAGACCACCATGATGACAGCATCCATGCAAAGAGCCGAATGAGAACCTGAGTCTCTTAATCAGGTTCCAGCCAATGAGCATTCGGGCTTGCGGTCTTGTGGGGTTGGGTATTACGGTGTTGGGCTCAAGCCCACGAGGCGGAGGCTTACAGTACTGGGCTGTAGGGCTAGAGGGTTTTGAATTTGGGCCGCAAACCCTAAACCCTAGTAGATTACCTGGACCAACCAGGCTATCTCAAAAAGCGGAGCACACCCATGTCTATGTACACCAACTACGTTTTCCTGTACTTACGGCACCACTGCTAAAGCCAAAACTCAAGTCCCCAAATCCTAAACAAAGCCGAACACTACAATCCATCAACCCGACGCCTCGAGACCCTGAATGCCCAAATCTTTCTGGGAAAAGCTTGCACTGCAGGGTGCTGAACTCAGCTCGCAGCCACACGAGCACCAAGACTCTTAAGCTCCTGTGCTGCAGCAACAGGATTCCCAGTATCAATGATAGCTTGAGCTTGAGATACATAAGGACATTGAGGGATAATATGATCAGTGAAAGTTGAACATAATAGTAACAAACACAGGAACATGGTCAGAGAACTAGCAGCCGGAAACCAGCATTTACAGAACCACAGCGGCTTCAATCAAACTAGGAAACGTGGTCATGAATAAAACTACTAACAGCGAGGAAAGCAGCAATCACAGAGCTGCGTCCCAACCCCCAGCTTCACGATCACTAAGATCAAGATCAAAACACAACCACGACAACATAGGGCTCCCTTCACGCGCGAATGCGCAAACACACACACACACACAGAGTCGCACTCACTCACTCACTCACTCACTCACTCTCACTCTCACTCTCACTCTCACTCTCACTCTCACACACAGACACAAACCACACAAACACCGGCACAGACACCCGAAAAAACACGCGCACACACACACACATTCATTCGTTAACAGAAGAATTCATGGAAACTTGGCCTTCGTGGCAAGGAATCCTGCGGGCTCCACTAGAAAACTCTTAGCTGGGGAGCCATCCCATGCGAGTAGATCAGCTACGCCTCCTTGGGTAGAAATGCCAAGGCGCTGTCGTGTCGTGTGCAAAGGCTGCACTGTGCCTAAAAGCCCTAACTGCATCTGGATCTAAGAGGGCTTCTTGCGAGCTTCAACATGTGAATGCTTGGGGGCCTGATATAGGACTTGATACTGGCAATAGGGTTTGGGTTTGTAACACAGAGACTGTGAGGAGAATTGCGAACTATAACTACGAATCGAGGGCCCGATGTTAGACTCCTAGCAACATGCCGATGGCTTTCATTTTGCCTGGCGCACTTGTCTATATTGGTTGGTCTTTGGTGGCAACATTAAAGAGTTTCCTTCTGAGGGTCTCGTCTCTCAACCACGTCCTGCCGATGGAATCAAACTCGTCTCGTAAGGGCCACTTCATGCAAGCAGTGGGGGGAGATGTGCTACCAAAGCTGATGTGTCACAGGCAAGACCACAGAAGAGCCTATGCTTCCCACATCTTCCTGGGACAGCGCAAGTCGTCTTGAGCGACTCACCGTCTGGAACGCTTCGGATGCAAGCCCGCGAATTCTCAGGCCATGAAGCTTGAGGCTTATAAGGTTTAGGAAATCTAGGTCTGAAAGCTCTCAGGCTGTCCTCCATTCATACATTACCCTACTCAGGCATGCTGAGTTGAAACTGTCACCGTGATACCAAAGACTAAACAGAACCCCAGCTCAGACTTCCGATAGCTCTGAAGCTGTATGTAATGCTTGTCCAGATGCTCGGGCAAAGGTCTAAAGCAAGGGACTGGGGCGCCCGCCATGTTGATCAAAGGGGGGGGAAGGTCTTGTGGTCATTTGGGGACAGTGGGACATCCGAGCAAAACACTTGGCGGGTTTTATTCGGCCTGGTTCGTAGCGGAACAATAATGGAACACGACTAGCAGTATTTAGGCTCCTTTGTCAGTTCGTTGCTGCTGCTGGTCTCCGACAAACTCGGACTGTCCAGTCGAAGTATGCAGGTTTGCGACATCATTTTTCGAGGACACGAACAGGCTTAGCTCACTGCTAGCTCCCAAAGCAACAGCTAGCAACTCCAATCTGCCCGGGATGCCTCCGCGATCTTCTGTACAGCGACGAGGCAACTTATCACTCCCTAAACCCAAAACCTATCACTACCTAAACCATTGTTGTATCAGGAATACCTTAACCTTAAACCTTAAATCCAAAACCCTAAACTATCACTAGAGCTCCATCTCGTCGAGGGAGGGCTTCGGGGGATCCTTCAGGTCTGTCTTCTCGCCGGACCTGCAATCAAGCGCTTGACAGCTTTCTGCTTTGGGGTTTCGGTTTTTGGGGTTCAGGGTTTTGAATTCGTTTGACACTCACACTCGGACAAGCCTGGCAAGGTCTGGGGCGATATTGGTCTCGACGAGGCAGTAACACTGTACTCAGCACGTCACTGGGTGCAGGAAGCCATCAGGGAAAACTGGGCCACCGACAACGACAGAAGTGCAACAGCTAGTTGAAAACCCATCTGACAGCAGTCCTCCATAGCAGCCAACAGGCTACACCCGAAAGGGCTTGAGGGCTTTTGGTCTCTCGCGTCTTAGGGTTTTGAGTTCCGGAATATCCCTTTTCTCCCGGATAGGGAGTCCCTTCAGCGTCTGTGACAGAGGTCCCGTTGAGTCCATTCCTAGTCAAGCTCTGCAAGGCCGCAAGGCTCGGGGGGCTGAGCTGAGACTGAGACGATGCAACAGCTGCATGCGTAAAGAGATCCGCACCATTGACAACAATGTCTCCTTGAAGTCAAATGTGCATATACTAGAAAGTGCCCCACACAACCCTTGCCAAAATTCCTTAGCCCTATTAAACAAACTAGGCCGCCAAAAGACAAGCAACAGTCCCAAGCATCCTTGGGCTATCTCTGCCTGCCTGGCTTTGTACATGGCTTCGCCGATGATCTTTTTCATGTTGTCATCACCTTGGAGCTTCAAAACATGAAGGATCTCAAGTTTAGGGACCCCTGACAACGGAAGATGCTGACGATATAGCCTCCTGAACAGGATACCCAGAAACCCCCGCCTTCGTCGTAGAGATCCTTCATCATGGACATGATGCTGTCCTGCGGAGGCCATCCCTACTGCTTGACTTCTCCTGGAAGGCTTTTCGAAACCTTACAAACAATGATCGAAAGCTTTATTTTACATTCGTGTAACCCCAACAAGACTGCATTGCCTACAGGAGCTGTGTGATCCCGGCCCTTCAGCTGTTCTCAAAGCACTTATGCTCCTAGCCCTGGAAGACGTGTTGAAGTTCTAAACCAAGCCCTACACATCCTACGGCCCACGCAGCCTGACACTAACTCCCAACAGCACCAACCCCAAAGCCTGCTTGCCATTCCCTCCTTCCGGAGGCCTGAGCCCTGCTTCTCAAGACTCGTGTTTCGACTCACACACTCGCACGAAGCTGGCATGGCGGGCCAAGGTCTGTGCTTGCTACTGGGACTCGGGTTTAGGGACGGAGCCGTTGCTTGCTTCGCAGCTTTAGGGGTCAGAAACCTCGGCTTCAGGATTTAAGCACTTCGACTGCAACAGGGGCTCAATACAGCGATGATGTGGGCTTTGGGTTTACATAATTATTTTGATACCAGCCACCATTCCTGCGAGTACAATGACTGCTTTGTTGCTCTCAGACTTACGTGCAAGAAGCAAAGGACTATGATGATGATTTGCTAATCTGACAAAGGCAGGCCGGACTCCTGTGGGTTCTCCGATTTCGAAGCCGCGGGCTTTCGCTTGCCTTTGGCGCAAAGGTCCACCCAGGAGTCGTAGCCATACTCGCCCTTCACCTTTCAACGGGCTCCCAAAGTGGGATGATGGAAACCCAAGTAAGAGTACTTCTATAAGGAACCCTTTCTCGTAGATAGACAAACCTTTCAGCTCCGGATCTTTGTAGTGGAGGCTTTAAGGCTTTTTGTTGGCTTTGCTTTTCAAGGATCGCGTCGGTAAACCGCTTGGCTTTATGTAAACCTTTCGATGCCGAAAGGTCGAACCACATCAGCATGTACACTTTCGGATGCAGGGGATATGTATGTACATGGAGCCGAGATTTGGGGATCCCCAAGCTTGCGGGGGTTGTGTAGGATGCCATGCTCCGGGCTTGGATTCCTTGCCGCACTCGCCCTTCATCAAAACCGGTGCAAGGCTGTGAAGACGCTTCTGAGGCTTTCCTTTCCAGCTCCCGCACGCGCAGGGTTCTGCCTTTCTTTCCGCGTATAGCTGCGCTGTGATCCACATTCAGATGCGAGGATCAGTGTAGGCATGGAGTCTAGAGAGCCGAGGGCAAGCAGCCAGCCACCGGGACCTAGGATGTGGCGCCTTGCGGAGGTTGATGATGACGTGATTCTTCTTCACCCTAAAGCTGGACTCTGCAGGCACGATGTCCTTCTCAAGGTTCGTCCGGACAAACCGGTGGTTCCTTGGAGTCTGATGTCTTTCTCGTGCGGCGCAATATGACACTCACACAGCGGGTGCAATGGGTTTCGAAAACCTTTCTTTAGCAAGCTCACTCTGGGAACGGCCAGCTTTCCCCGAACTGGCTAACTAGGTACGAATGCTTATTTTCTCCCCAGACACATGCACACACAAAGGCATAAATGGAAACTAGTGTAGACATTTAGGACATGCCCTTGCGCTGTTACGCAGGATGCAACTCTCTACCTGAACCCGCAGCAGTCAGCATACACTTTAGGACATGTATGCCTTGTAGCCAACAACACGAAGACGTAGGTGGGACAAACTTCATTCAAACAGTTCAGACGTATGCATGTGTGCACACCTGTTTATATTAATTACGGAAACATGCATGAATGGAATGAGCGCCTTCCCCGCACGCAGACACACACACACAGAGAACAAAAAAAAAACAAGCTGACAAACAACCAGACTCTCTCACATGCACACACGCAAGCATTCACACAAACACCCACCCACCCACCCACCCACCCACCCACCCGCCCACCCACCCACGCACGCACGCACGCACGCACGCACGCACGCACGCACGCACGCACGCACACGCACGTATGTATGTATATATATATATACAAACACACACATGGGTGTGAGTCCTGGTTTAAAGGGCTCAGCTCAGCATCTTCCCATCCAAACCCATGATCTTCAGGTCGAACGAATCCTGTCACAAGAACGAATCACGAGCTCAACATTCAACAACCATGGTTATGGGTTTTCGTAGAGGGCTCATTTGGCGATTTTTTCGCGACCCATTGCTATAGGGGTCTGGGCGTTAGGTCCAAAACCTGCAATTTCAGAGCCAGACATGGCGGAGGCCAAGGCTTTGAGCTTTCGAAGCGAGCATGGAACTCAACTTGCAAACCCTTCAAGCAGGCATCAACAGAGCCCCGTTCCAGGCTCCATCAGCACGTCGATGTTGTTTTCTTGGGTGCGGGTGGGAGACGGGGGGTTAAGATGGACGGGGACCCTCCTGAACAGCAGGTTTGTGCCAAAGTCTGAAAACCGACCAACTCCGCCTCCTTGAAATCGCACGTGAGGCTCTCGGCAGGAAGCTCCTCCACTCCTTTCAGCCTGCGGGTTGCAGGATTGCAGAAGTATCATGGCCCTTGGGGTTCAGGCTGGGTTCTCGGGGTCAGGGCTTATAGGATTCAGGGTTTAGGCTTTCAGGCGGTAAAGTGGTGTGGGAATTTGGGGTTAAAGGTTCTGTTAAAAACGCACTAGAAAGGGGCACTGAAAGGGCTCCTCCAAGCGTAACTAACAACTCGCAAATCCCTGCTGTGTTGCGGGATAGAGCATATAGTATAGCTGTAAAGGCTCAGGGTCTAAGGTTTCAGGTCACAGACTTCAAGGTTCAGGGTACACACTTAGGGGTAGGATGTAAGGCTTTGTCAGGATGGGCTTTTGGAGCCTTTCGAGCAACAGAAACCTAAAGATACCTAAAGATTCTTCTTCATCAATTGTGGTCCTTGAGATGGTTGTCTTCTTGTTGCAAAAACCAACTAGCAACTTGTCTAGGGAGAGCGCCAGGCTACTGTAACGTTTCGGGGGAATGTATGGAATTTCATTACCCCCTCAGGTCAAAGGCTGCAACCACCTCGATAAGAGCCCTTGCCTCAAGTCGATGCTGACATCCGGCTTGTTGTAGCCACCTAGGTCCTGGCCCAGCGGTGCGAAAAGCACCACCTGAAGTTGAGTTCCCAAAAACCGTTTTGCTTTTTTATGGGTTCGGGGCTTCTTACTCTCACAGCTGCACCAGTAGGTCTAGGACTTACAGTTTAAGGTTCACATCGCAACATGCTGCACTGTGTAAATTAGGAAGACACCGCCAGTCCAGAGCGAAGGTGGTGATCTCTGTCCATGGCCCCACTGGCCGCACATCCACGGCTGGTGCTGCGGCCTTCAAGTGATGGCTTAGCAAGGTTTGTAGTTTCGAGTGGCCGAGACTCCGGATTTGCACGACACGCGCGAAAAGGCTTTCCAGACGATGGGCAAATGTACGCGCGCACACACACACAGTATGAGTGAATGAATGAATGATATATGTCCGTGTGTGTGTGTCTTTGTGTATGTATGTGTGTATGTATGTATGTATGTATGTATGTATATATATGTATGTGTGTATGTGTGTATGTGTGTATGTACGTATGTGTGCAGGCAAATCTCTGCACATATAAATGCAAAATCACGTGCATGTAGATTTGCTTAGCATCGGAGCTGGCGGGGTGAACAATTCTGCAGGCCTGCTTCCTGGAGTCCTTCTACAAACATTTCTCCCATTGAGGGGGGTTGCATCGATACTAGAGATGAACTAAAAATGTCAAGCTCGCCCCCCATGCAGCCATGCAAACCCTGGAGACGAGATACTGCCTCACAACCCCATTTTAAACACCCCAACCAAGCCCGAAATCCTGTAACCCGAGCTATTTCTCTTGCAGGAGCTTTCACAAACCGAACTTCGGCGTGACGGCTTTGAGCTCTGAGGCGTTGGTTTTGCTTTGTATGGAAAGAAGAGTTGATCTTGGAATGACGGTTTCGGCTGAGGAGTTCATGTGAAGCATTGTGGGGTTGAGGGTTTAGGGTTATCGGGCTCATGGATTTAGGGTTTACGGTTTAGGGTGGAGCTTGACATCTTGATGTATCTCGTGAAGCCTTGCGTCGATGTTGGGACGGGTGGCCATGTCAGCAGGAACCCCAAAGCTCAACAGCAGATCTGACAACCATTCGGGCCTGCGCCGTCGCTGGCGCGACCTCGCAGCCAGGGAGGAAGTGACAGGATTTCGGCGTCAAGAGCATCCGCGGCATAGCTACATATCCTAACTTAACACACTAAAGCCTACAAGCCCCGAGCCGTACTAGCGAGGCCTGCAGATGTAGGCGAGGGTTTCATGGCTATGGGCTCCCAATGCTTAGAGGAAGTGTATAAATATAATCTCAAGATGGAAATAAATAAATCAATAGATATATACATATGTGTATATATATATATACAATATTACATATACATGTATTTGTAAGGGAGCCCCCATGACCTAAGCTTCTTTGGTTGAAGACGATGTACATGTTATTACTGCCCTTCTGCGCAATCTACTTCATATAGGGCTTCGGGTTTAGGGTTCAGGGCCGTCTTCAGGCCCCGAGAGCAAAGGCCGTCCAGCCCTGCCTTGGGGCTCGTCGCCGCTGGTGCCGCCTCCGAGCTCTTTGCCTTGAGCTGCTCGGCCTGTTTGATATCGGGGCATTAAGCATCAAAATAGGGTTTTGGGGTACATGATACCTTTTTTTTTGGACTGGGGGGGGGGGGCGGCCTCGGCCTCGGCCCCTTTCCCTCCGCTCCGAGCGCATCAAGAACGTCGCCCCACGAAGGGGGTACAAGTAGCGCATGACGAGGTAAGGACTCTAGCTGGCTGGGGTTTCTGCAATTAAAAAGGTGTCGGGTAAGCTCACAAGCAAATGGTGAGATAGAGTGTGGTAATAAGTGGGCTAAGCATGGAGTGCCGGATCCAGAGCAAGAGCAACACACTAGCCAATGGTCTAATACTTCCAAGTTCCAAGCAGGCAGACGAGAATAACAGGAACAGCGGCTTTACGGTGACCAGAGGACGCACCAAGCAATATCATGAGCAATTGTTCAATTCCCAGCTCAGGCTGACCCCAACCAAACCCCAATTTTCAAGACCCTAAACCCTAAACCCTAAACCCCTTTTGCAACTGGCCTGCTGCGACTCTGCCAGGAGGAGTATTCCTCCTGGCAGAGTCGCAGCAGGCCAGTTGCAAAACCCTAAACCCCTAAACCCCTCAACCCTAAACCCTGAAGTCCTCAAGCCCCAGATACGAAGCCTCGAGCTTCGTCAGCACCCGCTGCAGCTCTTCGCGAACAGCCGGCCTGCACTCAGCAGAAGGTCGGAAGTCTGCCTTTCTTCGGTTCTTTGCAAACTCGGGGATTGCATACAAGGTTTGCAATAGGTTAGGAAGGGTGCCCGCGAGGGGCATTTGGTAGACTAGGCTTTAATACATACGGTTTGCAACGGGTGAAGGCCAGGTCTGCAGGGGGTTTCTCAGTCTTGCGGGTGGATGGTGTTCTGCGTTGAATTGCGGCGTTAAAGGATGCCACGGGTGCTGAGAATCTTATCGGGCGTTAGGCATGTAAGCTTATGCACAGCTCAGAAATCCAACACGTGCTGAAGGCCCAGCATCCAGTAAACAGTTTATAGGTTTTCCCGATTTGTTGATACAGTTCATGGTTTCTTTATGATGTTGCCTCCAGACTTCGGGATTTGCTGAAGCGGCTGTTTCTCTCTAACATGTTGACAGAATTGTGTCGTGAACAACTGGAGGTTGTGAATGCCCACGAGCGGGCTGTGCTCTCCCACCTTTGCGCCCGCTGAAGCATGTCCTTCAACTCCGCGATATCAGCTGCAAGTTCACCTGGGTGCCCGGGTAATAAATCGATGCGGACCCTAAACTCTATAATCCCTAGAACCCTACAGCCCTAAACCGTACTACCTCTCCAGTTCACGAGGCAAGGAGGGCAAACAACGGGAGCGGTGGGGGCATCGAGAGTCGAATGCAAACCAAAACATAGACACAAAGTCTTGGTAACGAGCCCTAAATACAACTACGAAAACCCCACTAGAAAGATTCAGACCCTGCCTTACAACCTTAAATGAATGAGAACCAGGCCGCTGGTACTCTCAGACACCATGCTTCCCTTGCGCTCGGGCGCGGGGCCAGCAACAGGTTCGCCAAACTGGCCTTTTTGTGAAATGAGCCAAAGCTGCGGTGTCGAAGCAGTCCATGTAGACGCGGGCTGAGGGGAGGAGTTTGCGAATCTTGGAGTTAAGAGTTCAACTCTGGACCAGGACACTGTGAACACCAGATCCAGTCCAAGGTTTGGGGGGGGGGGGATCCCAAAAGCTGGAATTTGAAAAGAACCTAGAAATAGCACACCCTATGGCAGTTCTCACTTTGGACTTCGGAGCTTCAACAACTAGAGTCCATCAAAAATACCCAGGCCAGCCTACACAAGCACACTACGATACCTCTGAACCCTAAACTTGAAGCACGAAACCCGAAACTCTAGGCCCCTATACCATAAGAGCTAGTTCCCAGAGAAGAGCAGTGGACCAAGCGTGCAGGAGAACAAAGACATATCCCAGTGTGCCAACAGATTCAGTTTGGAAGTTGACTTCGTCGGGACTTAGCCTTTGACTTAAGGGTTTACCATCCAGGTCTAAGGGCGTGGGAGGTGAGTGTCCAGGGTTGAGGGTAGGTGCACTCTGTAACACAGTGAATTACCATTGAGCACACAGATGCATTCATTCATACATCCAGTACTTGCATGCATGCATGCATGCATGCATGCATGCATGCATGCATGCATATCATGTGTACATGAGTACGTACAGAAACACATTCTCTCTCTCTCATATGTATGTATATATATATATATGTATATGCACATATGTATATATATATATACATAGACACACTTAATCATATGTACATGCGCAATACTCTTCAAAAGTAAAGAGCACCTGTCCTCCGCACGGATACCACCCAACTAAAAAGCTTTGAGACACCTGTAACCCATCCACGAAACTGTTTTGCTTAGATAGCTCCAAAACCATGATACAAGAAGCCAGATACACGGATTCACAAAGCCCCACGTACAACTATGCTCAGAAAGCTGCGGCATGGAATCGGTTACCGGAAGCCCTCGGCACCAGTCCTCGTTGCCAGAGCTCTTGAAAACGCCTGGCCTTCCGACGCTCTTTGGGCCCAAGAAACACCTACGGATCCTACCTTTGAGGTCTAAGCGTCGGTATGAAGAAACCCCCTTCTCTGCGAGATCTCCCTGGGCCCCCTGACCTGAAGATATCTGGACTCTGCGTGCCTTTAATATTTGCTCTGTGTGTTTACGGGCGTTCACACACGAGGCGCAGAACCCGTTGCCTGAAATCTCTTAGTTCTATGCCAGGCTCATCTGAACCACCTGGCAAAGAGTCCGACATAAACCCTTGCAAAGACCCCACATCAGATCTACGATCACCTAAACCTTTGACCCAGCACAAGGCGACTCATACTTCTGCGCCTTGCGAGAAGCAGAGCACCGCGCTCACCGCGTGTGGCCAAAGCGAAGCCCGCATTGGTGGCAGTCTCGGGCTTGTTTTGTTGGCTGGTAGTTAGCTTAGGGCTTAGGAGCGGTGGTGGGAGGGGAGTGGGGGGGGGCGGTTTCAGGCTCGCGAGGACGTGTAGGCCTAACTTAGCCATTTCCAAGAGAGGTTTGAATCTGAATGTATGAGGTTGTACTGAAATCAAATCATTGGTTATCATTGGTTGCTCTTCCGACCGACCCGTGAGAAACAAAAGTCATATCAACTTCTGAACAACATGTTAGCATGAATGCCGTGCCGAGTCACAACAGCAAGCTTCCGTCACACAGCTCGTCAACAAAAAGATGTTCGACAAATTCAACCCCCTCGAAAAATACAGTAGCTGGAGTGTTGCAAGAGCTTGAAGACTTGACGAGCGAAGAAATGGAGACTTGCGATGATGATTCCTTCTGATGCTGAACCCTGAAGCCCTACGCCACCCACACCACGCCGGGCACCAAAAACCCTGTATTGGGAGATTCGAGTGTGCAAAGGGAGCCCTGCATCACCGCATCAGAGTTGCTTTGGAGACTGGGGCCTTGTGTTTAAAGGCGGATTTTGGGCTGCTAGGCTTGAGGATTGAGCGCATCAAGCTCTAAGGTTTCAGGGTGGAGAGCTGGCACAATGCAAACCCAAAGGGTCTAAGGTCTAAGGTGCTGCTATGGGGGATACATTCCCACATCACAATACGGATTTCCTAATAGAGAAACCCTACATTCTCCCATATAGGTACTACGGATCCTTTGGGAAGCTTTTGTGGGACCCACGCATAGGCTCAGAACAACAGCGGACGGCCGGACTTTTCCGCCCGCAGCTTCGCACTATCGTCCTGAAAAGCTCGAGCCGTGGGCCATACAACTTAATGTTTCGGCCTTCCCTAAACCCCTCAGGTACCTACTATATAGGGCCCTAGGGGCTCTAGTACCCTATATAGTAGGTACCTGGGGGGTTAGGGCTCAATAATCAGAATAGGGTTTTGGGGCCCAGTATACTGTAATTAGAACCCCCAAAATAGTATTGGTAATTTTTTAGGCCGCTACATCACAACTTACACCCCTCTAATGACTAGAATTGGGTTTTGGGCTCCTTTTTTTCGTATTATTTTGACAAGGAGCCCTTAAGGAAGAATATAAGTAATAATGAAGCTTTCGGTCAGGTATTTAGCGCCTGAATGTTGCCAACCTGATCTTTTAGACATTGCCATGCAGAGGCAGCATCTGCCGACTCCTCTGGAACTCCCACCGAAGATCACCGGAACAAGCGTCGCCGCTTCGACTTTGCATTGCCGAGGTCCTCAAAATGGATCTTACGGACAGCTCACGGCATCACTTTCGAGATGAACCCGTTGCCATCGCTGTTCTTCTGGCATGCCAGCGTACCCGGGAGAACAGCAAACTAGGATCACCACCAGTGTAGTTTGAGCGTCAGTCCGCAAATGTTGTTCAACTGCTGAATTCCCGCGAAAGCTCTAACTCGTAAATCCTACAATTCCAAACTCAGAACATTGCAAGCATAAGCGATACAAGCTTCTGCCACAGAAACATCGGCTGCAACAAGTCACTAAGTCATGCCCTCCCCGGCAACATCGACGTCCAAACAAACAAACAAACAAAACACCCAGACACCACAAGTCATCCACAACATCCCCGAGCCTGTATTTAAACCTCCTCCCACATAATCAAAGTCTTCAGCTCGGGGGTTAACTCTCCCTAAACCTTCAATAATTCCCCACTTATACCCGAATATGACACCGGAGAACAGGCTCAGGAAGTCCTTTGGATCCACCAGCGCCCAGGGGTCGAAGAGCTGCGGCCCGCGGGCTGCACACAGCGTCGGCTCCTCGTCGATGTTGGCGATGCCTGGCTTAGGGTTTAGGGTTTAGGGTTTGGGGTTTGGGGGTTGGGGTTTAGGGTTTAGGGTGCAACTCAAAGGCAAGGCGGGCTGGCTTGGTTGCCGCGGCCTTCAAGCAGTTCAGTTACCTCATAGATTCGATAATGTAGATGTACAGAGTACATGTATATGTATGTTCTATGTATATATATATATATGTATCTAGGTAGACAGGTAGATAGATAGATAGATAGATAGATCGATAGAGATATGATATACAGAAAGCGCCACACTGCAGGCCCGTGTTTTGAAGCTTTCTATTCTCACACTATAGGCCAGGATGTTGCAAGCATCTGCTGCCATCGTCTACATGCATACAACACAATTTCGAAGCAGGCCATACATATGTGTGTATACATATACACACATATGTTTACAATATCTGTGTATATGTATAGAGATATCGATACACCTACATGTGTTTGTAAATATGTGCACAAGCATACACATAAACATAAGCATATACATACATGCAAACACAGAAACATGATCTGAATTTGTCTGTGGACCCATCTAGATGCCAGTATGTATTGTCGTGTGTATATCTCTGTGTATATATATATATAACTGTATATATATAACCATTTGGCATCTGCTTCCCGAAAGACCTCAGAACCAAAATCGTTCATTGGCGCACCCTAAGCATTCAACCCCCTAACCAAACTTGCCAATGCAACCCGTCGACCGAAAAGGGGCTTCTCTCGGGAGAGGGGTGTGTATGTGGAGGGGGGTTCGGGGTTCGCAGAGTGGCTCTCGATATGTAAATCAGGAACGTAGTTGGGGCTTCTATGCTATCATAATATCGTTCACTCATCGAAGCCCGAAAAATTGTAGGACAATCTCAACAAGCCATCCTGCGACACCACAGCATGCCCAGAAGTGAGAGCAAGCTCGCTGCCTTTGCGGAACTCCTTCGTTGTCTGCCGTGTTACCTGCTGGCTGCATCACAGGGTTTGAGCTCCCAGCCGCTCTGAGTTGGAGATTCTTACAAGTAGAGGTAGGACAGTTGGGGGGTCCTATAGAACAAGAGTCCTACTAATGAGTGCAGGTATATGTCAGGGTGCCTTGTGTCTGAAATTCCCAGTTAGCTCCACAACTTCACGATTACAGAATTGCTCGAAACAACTCGAAGAGTGCCACCGTCGTCGCTGCTGATCCTTCTAATGCACCGTTTCACTGTGGCTGTTTATTCATGTCCAAGGAAGATCCTGCGAGGAGCGAAGTGGCTCCGGTTGGAGAGTGGGGCGGAGAGCTAATTTCAATGAAGGAGTCATGAAGACCACAGATACGTTACAAGGCCTTCTTGCCGCCTACAGGGCAAACTTTACCGAGTTCTCCGTTTTCAAGTGCCCTCCCAAGTTGTCGGCTTACGGTGCAGAAGAAGCGGAACCCTTTCACACTCGCAGCATCTGGGCCCCCTGCAATGAGGAACAAATGGTAAAGCCAGAGAACCAGGGAAAGAAATGCGGCGAAGGTGACCAGGGCCTCAAGAATGTTTCTTCCACTTCAAGGCTTGAAACAAGGGCGCTGCAACGACATGCAACCACCTTGCAAGCGGATGGTCTACGCGCACGTGTGTATATATTCCTTCTTCAAACTCCACCAAAAAAACATGCAGGCAACGCATTGCATGGAGAGTAGCTGCAAATCCGAATACCGGAAAGGACGTAAGTAAGTTCAGGCAGGAGTGGACTTCTTTCAGTTGAGGCGAATGCAGATACATGGAGCTCCTGGGTTGACTTCAACGTCAAGAGGCGCCAACGGCACACATGGCGTAGAACAGCAAGGACATCGACTTGTCAATCCTGGGTCCACATTGCGGGTCTTAAACGAAAGAGAGGTACCCGTGCCCTCTCCAACCTTCCGCTGAGAACTCGCATTTTGAGATCCCATCCACTCTACCCAAGGAGTCCCTAAACCTTAAACCCTAGTCCAGGAGCTTTGCGGCATTCTTCATGGCCTTATCCTGATCCGGGTTGAAGAGATGCAGGGCGAGGGCCTCGGTTACTTGGGACTTTGTTGGGCGGCAAGAAAGCCCTAAACCCACATTTCAGGGCTGCGGCTACATTGCAAATCCGAACAGAAGCAGCTTCATTCGAAAAGGGGTAGACTGGAGATCATTCTCTGTGCTAGAGAACCCTAGAGAACTAATGCTACCGATTAGTCAGTTCCCCACATTAGCTCAAGGGCGACATTCACCAGCCCTGCCCCATGCAGACTTGATGCGGGCATCACCATTGTAGCCAGAACCATCACCTGATGGTATGGGGCCTAATGCCCACCAGGTTTGGGTCCAAAGAGGGTTCCTACGCGGTCAGGGCCCTAGAGAATGAACACAAGCGCAGTAGCCACCAACAAAGAAGGATTTCTTAAGGGTTCAGGCATCAGCTGGATCAGCTGGGATGCGCTGCAAGAAATTCTGACTGTGACGAGCGAGGCAACAGGCTCTATCCATGGCAGATTTTCGAAGACACAGGACTGTCAGAAAGTAGCACCAGCCTCAAGCATCATTATCGCTAGTATCGTGACCACTGTAACCGACAAACAATGCGGGTTTGGGTCAGGCACCCCGCGATTGAACAGCAAACGGCCGGAATCGTGAATGTATACCATGAAAGAACTAACTCCGCGCTGCTTCGGGCAAGCCGCACACGTGATGAAGCCGAAGAAATAATGGTAGTTCCTCTGCCCCACACCTCAAGAGACAAACTCCAATGGCAAGACTTAGGCACAAGCGAGGACTGTGCTGTGGAAAGGACAGTTGCGAACCTTGTTAGGTCTTGGCAGCGATTAATCAAAATGGTGTCTGAATGTGAATAAACGACACACGATATTGTTTCGCTCCATGCCTAATTGCCGAGTTTATTCTTTTCTTTGCGACCGATTGACATATTCCTCTTCTCAGTATAATCAATATCGCCGCGTTTAGATGAAGAGCACAAGTGTAAGATACATACATTTGCAAGCACTCAAGGGCGATACCGAAGCACGAGTGCGACAGCAAAGCTTCATAGTAGCAAACCTCTACACCAAAGCCACCGCGATACTTGCGATGGCATTCATTGAGTCTTCTCGCGCCAAAAGACAGCCAGCTACTGCAGTTTGCAAGGACAGCCCGAGGCAAAAAGTGTAAGTTAAATCGAAAGCCAGTGTAGGAGAATAAACATGCCCAGACTCCTTCAACGGACCCAGAGCGGCCTCCATGAACCGCTATTTCAATGTTCAACATCACGATCCACAAGCTGCGGTTAGTGCCTGTCCGAGGCACAGTTGTTCACGAATGGGCAATGATGATCAAAGCGCAAGACGCAGTTGTCGCAGTCGGAGCAGTGCGACGACCGTGGAGGTCGCACGATGCAACAAGTATCTCGGCGATGCGTGCGTGTGTGTCTGCTTTGAGTCGGGGAAACACGACAAACTTTCCAAACTCGCTTAAAGGGCAAACATTCAGGGCCATTACTCTAATTACAGCTTTCAGGGACAGAATCTCATCATGGGCGGAGGCGTGTCACATGAAATCGCCAAACCTAAATCTGAATGACAAGCTTACGGCCCGCAGTCGCCCAATCATGCAGTCATAGGTTATATAGTAACGTTGCCATGCTGTTTCTTCCACGGTTCTTGCCACTCCGACACTCAGACCCTGACGATCAACGCGCGAAGAGCCTGAAGATCTGCTAAACTATGGCACGAAGAGTGCCTGGAATAGATCCGCCCCGAAAAACCGAAGGCAAGCCTTGACTTGGCTTCGTTCTACTGACTCTTAACCCCGAACACGCAACCGGAACAGCCTGAGCATCTACTTCCACCGAGCGACTGCAAAAGCGGTAGCCCTGCTTCCTGACAGCTGCAAGGTGGGCAACAATGAAAACATGCCGCAGCCTGACAATCACAGCTATGAACGTGCATGAACGTGTCTTTGCTTTCCACCGGATGTGTCAAGCCGCTTCCATGCTCTGGACCCCAAACCTGCTGTTCAAAGATCTGCAAGATCGGGGGAGTTTTGGAGGATCGGGAAATTAATCCGAACGCCAACCACGAAGCCATCAAAGTCGAAATCCTTAAAGTTTAAAGCATCCTACAAGTACCTCTTAACCCCAAAGGCCGAAATGCACAAACAGGAAACACCTACCTCAGCTGCGGTGGTAGTGAAGCAGAGTCAGATCCTCCGGTCAGTGGAGTCAAGGATGAGATTTTAGGGCTTGGGGTGTAGAGAAATCTGTAGGGTAGGGTTTAGGGTTCAGGGTTTCTTGGGGTGTAGAGTAATGTCTAGGGTAGGGTTTGGTTTTGGCATATTGTATGGGGCTTGGGAGTTTTCGGGGAACCTCTGTCGCCAGTTTGTGGTTTCGGGCTTGGAGATTGAGCCTTGGACCATCAAATGCTGCAGGTCAACAACACCTCGAGCCTACTGTCTTTTGAACTTTGCATGGCTCTCTGAACAGAGAGCTTACACGCCCTTCCCCTCCGTTTTGCGCTTACCGCAAAACCACCGGATCGATGTTTTAACCCAAAGAACTCATAGAAACCTACCGGCACCCCCACAAAGAGGCCCTGGACATGCTGAGGCACAACCCCTCTACCCTCCACCCTACTAACCCCAAAACTCTCCAGTCTGTGGTAGCGCCTTCGGGCCCGAGGACGTCATAACCAAGAGCTACTTTGAGCTGATCGGCGGTGCCTGTCACAAGAAGGTTTAGGGCTAGGGACCCACAAAAAAAAAGAGGCGCTTTGGGGAGGAGTCGAATCCCGCACCCGAGAGCGTGTACAGTAATGGTATAGAGTCTATGCTGGACCTAGAACCCCGGACTTCAGGGTGGACAAGGAGCCTCAAAATTACAAGCGATATGAGCTGCGGAGTCTAGGCAGCGGTCGTTTCGTCTGAACTTTGTTGTGCAAGGCGGGATGGATGAAAAAAAGATTTTGCCAGATTGGGCAGCAGTACAGTGGAAGAACAAGAGTAAAGAAGTATACAGTGGCAGATTTGGCAATATGACATGGCAGAATTTTCACCTGACAACGGCGCAGTGTGGCTCGCGAGCTCATGCGAATATGTCAATTGCTCCATGTTAAACTGCTAGGCACTGGAAGAAACACACTCTCATCTCCCTACATCCTAAACAGGAAATCCCGCAACCTTTCATGTCGTCTGAAGACCCTTTCAACAAAAAACACATACAACGCAGCAACACCCGCTAAACTTTCTACCCAAACTTCAAAAGCCCTCAACCTTAAACTCCAAACCGCAGCTGAATTGAAGATCCATGGCCTGTCGCCAGGATCACCTGGCACAGCTTCACGGATAAACAGCAGGCGACCTCCTACGGTTTAGGCTAGAGACCGTAGGGTACTGGTTTAAGTAGTCTTTAGGAACTGTCAGGCCTTTCGCATGCCCCACTCGGAACATCCCACAAGCCCGGCATCAATTCTAACTAAACACTACCAAATGTTATTTCTCTCAGACGCTTAATCCACCGAGCGCAAGCACCTCACGGCAGGGAATGATCCCCGGGTCCGTGCAGCAAGTGGCCTTAGGTCTTTAGGTTCTGGAGATATACGGTTTGGGGTTCAAGAGCAGGGAAAAAAGGCTTCCAGGTATCGGTTACCAAAACAGCATCGAAGTAGGCATGGGCCACAGGGAACTCAGCGATGTTGGGAGCCAACACACTTGCTTGTGCTTGATGCTTATCGTCCAAAGGGTTTCGGGGGCTCAGAGTTTCCGCTCGAAACTGGAAGCGCATCCCAACGAGTCACAGTCGCAGTTGCGGAGGAGGCGGAGCGGAAGTCATCACAATAATAACAACACTACATTGAGGCAATAGATATGCATTTACGAACACGAAACTCAATCACTAGATTATATCACATTTCATGCTGTCCCGATGGCGAGCAGGAGTCCCGTCGCAATGAGAAATATGGCCAGCGTCGCCCCTGGAAGCCGAAAAGGAAATGAGGCTGCATGGCTGCATGCTCTCGCGGTTTAATAAGCAAGGGGATGGCCCAAAATGTTCTAAAAGCTGCGAGGGTGCCCACTCCAGATTTCTGTTGAATTGGCTCAGGTAGTCGAACAGTGTGCAGCTGGTTGTTAGGACGAGGACGGGGAAACTAGTCATGAGAGATCTGTCACGCTCTTCATGGCGTACCGTGAACCCCCTTATAGCGAAAGCTCGGGACCTGTGCAAAGGGTCACTGCGTCCTGCGCCCTTCCAAAGGGAGCGCAACATCAGCTTAATCTTAATCCACGTCAACGTCTACCGAGTGCAACGCAAGCCGAAGACGAAGTCATAGACGCAACTGAATGTCCAACACAAAGAGACGGAGACTGGCATGAATTACAACATGGGTGATGCTGTAGAACGCCTGCGTAAGAATTGGTAAGCTGGGAGGTCTCAGAGAAGAAAGGGTTTACGGTTTAGGGTTCAGGATTTAGGGTTTAGGAGCTGAATGGCAATTCAAAGCAAAGCAATCGCTGACGTCGTCGGTCTGCACGGACACCATCTGGGAACTTTCAGCTGGGATGTTGATCCAACTTAATCATATTGAGACGCCCCAACCCCGTGATCCTTCCGAAGGGAACCGGTCATCCGCAACACCAGGGCAACTGTCGCCTGGCAGCAGGTAAATGCCATTGGAGATGAGCTTTGGCGCCACGAGTCCGAAGTATGTACCTTGCGTTCGCAGATGAAGATGTCTATCCAACTTTATAATAGTGCAGACCTCACAGCACCATGGGGTCTGGTTGACGGCAACTAACAAGTCACAAGAAATGCTAGACTTGCCTGGCCAAGCTTTGTAGTGATTCAAAGAGTCGCTGCATGCCGCAGACATCCTCGCAGCACGTGCAAGCCGGGAGGCAGCTTGGAACGAGGATGAAACACCAAACACACCTGGGCTGTGGGAGACAGGTTCGCTGTATGTGTGGGGAGTTGTTTACAACAGAACCCACCTCAGACCTCAGAGCCGCTAGCTGGCGATGCTGCTGAGAAAAGCTCAGTGAGGCGGGTCACGCTACGCCCAATGTCCACAAGTTAAATGCCCTGAAGGCGGTGAAGCCGAACCTGCAAGGAGTAACTCTTCGAATTCTAGTTCACAAGATACTCCCAAGTGTGCATCCAGGCACATGTTCGGGCAGTAGCACTCGTCCGTGCCACCTGTATGAGGGGTTGCAAAGTTGAGGGCAGGTTGAGCTTGCAACGCCTAAGGGGACAAGAAGCATCTGATGGCTACGCTCAACGACATTTCATACTTCTCTCCTATCCGGGCCTGTCATGCAACAGCCGCAGCAGCAGAACATATTCTTTGATGGCCACCTTTGTTTGCAGGCCAGTCGGTCAGTCACAGCGGAACAGCTCGAACGGCGCACCAGTGCTCAACTTTCCTCCTCTCTTCCAATCGCTGGGTTCGCCGTCTACGGCAGGGAATGCACACTTTGCTTAATTCGGGCGCCAGCGAGCACGAAGCCGTCAAAGCAGCGTCTGCGCGATCAAGTACCGCGCCGTCAGCTGCAACAGGCTCAAAACTCTCGTGCGCACACTGGCATATCGCCAGCTCACGTCAAGACCTTTTGCCAACACCCATTGCTAAAACAGGTGCGGTAACACACACGGTTATGTAAGTTCCAAGAACATGCGGCATGCTGTCAACCCAACACAAGGTGGGTTCGGGCGGCTGGCAGCTAGTGGCTTGTGATATCTGCGACGAACAGAGTTTCATCCTTATGTGCGAAAAGCGGATCAAACTACCAACACCTGCTGCCTGATGATGCTGCAAACCACCAGCATGCTGGTTTCCGACGGATCCAGGATTTTCCCGGAAAATTCGCAACATTCCAAGGCCTCAGAGCTTCGACCCCTTGATGCCAGGAGCTGTGCCTGGAAGGCCAAGTTCCCCGCGGCCTGCCCAGGTAAGGTGGAGGCCTTGGAAAGGGCCTTCTTGATCAGCTCCTTCCCTCGCTCCACCTCCTGCGGCGACTGCATGTGGTACTTCAAAAGAAGGCCGAAGAAGAAGTGTAGGAAGGAGTTCTCGCTAGCCTTGGCCTCCACGATCTCATACTGCGCGCGGGACTCCTCAAAGCGATCGGCCACGTGGCTCAGCCATGCTGCCATCTCGAAATGTGGCCAGAAATCTTCTGGGGCAAGTCGCTGTGCTGCGAGGAAGTCATGCTCTGACGAGGTCTTGTTAAGGCGACCGGGTGTCGCGGACAGCCAGCCACGGAAGATGTGCGCGTTCGCCGTGTCTTCCAGAGATAAGGACCGCTGGATGGAGTCTCCTGCAAGACTCCACTGCAGCAGATAAAAGGTCTCCAGCTTTGCTTGGAGGCTCCAGAGTCTGGCGCTCGTTGGATAGACCGCCAGGGATCGGTTTAGCAACTCGTAGCTGTCAAGGTACGCACGCTGCGTGCCCACGATCTGAAGCTTGTTGATAGTGTCAACGCACAAGGACTCGTTCCCACAAGCTAGGCTTTGGGAGCTAGCTGTACAAAGCAGGTATGCCAGAGTCAGCCCAGCCACTGCTGCCATTCTGGCGCCAGGTTCTCGGAATTGGGTGTAGACGTTTACAATGCCACTACGACTCCCGTCATACAAGTATCATCTGCTTTTTCGCAATATTATAAAAAGAAGATTATCTTCAGCCAGAGAAGAAAAATGCTGCGCCCAGGCGCCGGCACGTCTGCTTTTACTGCTCAGCTCTTCCTCCGATTGGCCTCTTAAGAATGGCAAAACTGTTCTAGGCGCCTTCACCACTAGACTAGGCCTCTTTTGAAGGGATCTATAAAGGCTACGGTACGTACTACTATAGGCTACAGGTTCGCCTCAAGTATTAGAATCGGGCTGTGGGGGTATGTCGGTACTAGAGTCTTACTAGAGGCAGATACGATTACTCAGTCTTCAGGCCCCCAGAAGACAAACAGGAGGAAAGAGTCCTCTAGGATTGGCAGCACGGCCCGTGAAAAATCAGCTCTGACAATGTAGAAAGCGGAATAATTAGCCAACAATGCTGAGAAACAGCATCATCGCCGAAAACTTGCTATGAAAAGCAGCGAAGGAGAATTCCAAAACGAAATGACTTCAGTAACTCTTCGTGGCAGTGCTTAGTTGAAAGTCCGAGTAGACTTGCGAGGCCACCCCCGCAACACCTGAGCTCTTGATATACCCAAAATGCACACACACACTGAAAGAAGACCTCAAATCCTTTAATTTAATGCAAGCTCCGCCTATTTGAGGGGCCTTCGACGTGCATCGTCAGGATTATAAACCGCAGCAACCACTGCAGGGTTCAGGGGTTAGGGGTTTAGGGTGTAGGGGTTAGGAGTTAGGCGTTAGGGTGTAGGGGGGTTGGGGTTATAGACTTATAGACATAGACCATGGATGAATGGCACAGCTTCATCAACCTGAAAAGTACAACGGACCACTGATGCACAAAACCAAGGTATGCCGAGAGGCTGCTGGTAAAGCCGAACAAGTTTGCCTTGCATAGCAGGCATAGCACTCTGGAGCAGGGACACCGGTGGCACACTCGAAACCCTACGACTCAAGGCCCCTCAAAGCTCTACTCCCTGCTTTCGAAAACAGCTTGCGGGCGTCGATCCCGAACCCCAGAAACGAGGATCCAACATTGTGGGGCTTTAGTGGGTTCTATGCGAGTTAGGGTCACTCTGTCCCTGAAACATGAATCCCCCAACCCTGGGCCCAAACCCGAAAAAAGTCCCTACACCCGGACCTTAAACCTTAGCACTCTTCTTTTCAAGAATTGTTTTACACTCGTGTGCAGCACGCACAGAACACCTACAAACTATCCTAGGCCTGAAACCCAGTTCTTGTCGCTACTTTCCGGACAGCTCAACAGCTACCCCCACATCCTCTGGTTGGTCGTATGTTTCCCTGTCAGGATTCAAGCGGTTTGGGGTGGAGGGTTAAGGGGTCAGGAGTTTTCAGGTTTTGGGGTGTACTTGGGGTTGTTACGTTGTGTGTTTGTGTGCTATTCATATAGGCTAAGCCCTACCCAGCGCCCCAAGACATACTCACGGAAAAGCCACGAGAAACAAACAACATCAAATCCAACATGTAACATGACCTTTGCGCCGCACTATCAGATGAAGCCCGGTCAAGGGCCTTACAAGAGTGTAGACTGAGTTGCGGTAGCAAAGAGAATCTGGGACGCCGTGTTAGAGCTTGTGCTTTGTGCAAGTGCCCGAAGCAAGACTGCAGACGCTTTACAGCTGCTTCAACAAACAAGGCGGTTCACAAAACCCAAAGTTCCCACAAACCCTAAACGCAAGCCTACATCCCAAGACTCTATGTACAGTCTTAAACTGCTTGCATCCCGAACCCTGGAATCCTGATGACCCTAAACCCCAGAAGCTCCTACGCGAAGGGCCTCTGCCTACTTGGTTCTCGAGATCGCCGTCGGCGTTGCCAATACAGTTCGGGCGTACTTTGTCCCCTTCCCGGCGCAGTGATTCATTGGGGTTTCGGGTTTCGAGTTTAGGGCTTTCAAGCTTCAGGGGGTTGCTGTTGAGTCAGACATTCGTGCTTGTGGCTCTAGGCTTGCTGGGCCTGGGGTTCACTTCATCGGGCGATGCACGGAGCGGGATGCAAGACCTTCTGCACGCTTTCGCCTTCTGAACTATGCATGAGTTTCGGTGGTCACCGAGGGACCTGGATTACCAAAACGGTGTCACCTCCTAGAAAAGCGATGCCGCTGCTCGGAAGCCCTGCGCCCAGGATAGAACTGTGATGAGTCTCGGAGCCGGAAAACTTGGAAGACGTCCGAAAATGAACTGGAAACCATGTTGCCGCTACAGCATGGCACTGCGCCTCCGCTGCTATCGTTGCCGCGGCTTCTGTTGGCAATCCTTAGAGCCGGACGATGGGCTGGGACTGGGACCAAACCGAGTTCATTATAGAGACCGTAATGATTAATCTATTTGGGCGTATATCATACTGTACGTATACAAAGGCTATGCAGAAATACGATGACAGTAGAGGCTGCGGTTTGCGCTCACTTGTGTGATCTACGGTAGGACACTACATGACACCACGGAAACGAGCAACAACTCAAGCACGAGACTACTCGTCATGCCTGATAATTTCACCCATCCTATTGACTTTGGTTTTGTCTTGATGGTCATCATCGGCGGCATCATGAGCAGACGTCATCTTTGCTACGGCTGCCTCCCAGCTTGAAGGAGTCACTCTCTCCAAGGATCTTGAAAAGGCTCTGACTACTTGCGCAGGCATTCTCGATTGGCCGCACTTTAACCATCACTGCCCAAACCCACATGATGGACTGGGCATGCAGCTCTACGTTATATCACGGGAGCAAAAAAGAAAGACCGACGCAAGCAACCTTAGGCATAAGCCTTTGCAGTATGGTTCTTTGTCCCGGCATCTAGCATCCCCCGAGAACTCCATACAAGCTCTCAGATCCTTAAGCAACCCTCTATACACCCACAAAGAAACCCAATAATGTAGGGGCCTAAATCATTACAAATACTATTTTGGGGGTTCCTTATTATAGATATAGTATATTGGGCCCCCAAAACCCTATTCTAATTATTAAGGTCCCTTTCATACCCATCAAGGACCGACTCTAAGGCTCAAGTTCTTTGTTTCCTCTTCGTGGATCGTCGACTCGGCTTCCTCAGATGGAGGGGTACGGGGGATTGGGGTGTGGGTAAAGAGGATTAGGCTGTAATAAAAGTTTACGATCTCTGAAGTCGGACTCGGCAGATGAGGGTGCAGGGTCTGGGGCTCTAGGACTCAACTTCCTCACGTGGTTCGTCACCTTTGGCTCTGTGGCCAGCGGATACAGATTTGTGGGACTACGCAGGGTTCGCGGGCGGGAGGGGAGTCCAACCTATGCTTATTATGTTCAGAACATTGCCACTTGTATCAAACCCCCATATTGAGATGATGACACCGCCAAGAGACGAAACACGGCTACCAAATCTTCATCTCCCCCTTGGCCCCAAGACCCCCCGTAAGATGGAGCCCCCACCTAGCCACTGGGGATGCTCCTCCCGGGATCCCCAGGCCTCCGAGCACTTGCCGTGGCCTGCTTTTGGGTGCTTTTTGTTGGCTGGCTGCTCCTCTAAATGCATATAGCACGAGCCTCCATTGATAGTTCATTCCACCCAAGAGCTCGGAACAACGCCGCAAAATTGGCATACAAGGCCTTGAAGGCCTAGACACGTCCACCCACGTGTCGGTCTAAATGCTGGGGGGTGCGTCCTAGATGCCATGGAGCATTTCCCAGCATGCCCCGACGGTCGCAGAGCCCCAATCTTCCAGCCACGAACAGCCGAAAGAATAATATAGGGGCCTTCATAATTCGAACATATTCAAGCCCCTTTTTTAGGTGCTGCTGCACTCGATGGAATGCACAAGGCAAGTGTGCATGGAGGATTCCAGAGTTTCATCTGGGGTCAGTTGTTCAAGAGCCTGTTTTCCCTAAGCCCTCTCTATCGCTCTCTCTCACACGGACTCAGTATCTGTCAGCCGCGACGCACGACATAGCGATTTCGCTTAAACCCTAAACCCTAAATTCCTAAACCCTAAACACGGTGCAACGGAAGATCATATGGGGTCGTTGAAGTGTCCGTGTCTTGAAAATGGAACACCCTTTGTAGGCCACCAAAGGGACACGTTTCAGCGAGACGTCCATTCGGCAGGCCATACGAAACTGCAATTTCCTTCCCAAGGCCGCAGACGCCGTTTGCTAGTCGGAATGCTCGTTTTGGACCCTGATTGCGGCTTTTCAAGTCCTCAGACCCCGAATTACGATGTCCCAAAAGTTTAGGAAGCCCCTGTTGTGGATCTTCCGCGAGATAGCCCATAGGTTGCGAACCAAGCGTCTTGCCGAGGAGGCAGCTCGATGGAAGGCATGGCTACGGCTGAATGATTAGAGGCTTGTAGGGCTCATAAACCCCTCTGGTCCAAAGTATCTCTATAGTGGAATGTGACGGTTTTATCCCTTTTGAAAAACAGCTGCTAGCGGGTTCAGGGCTGCTGTGTAGGGCTTTTTTGAGGCTTTAAGTATAGGGGGAGACTGGGGTCTGTTTGGGGAGGTTCAGTTTCAGGGCTTTCAGAGCGTTTAAGGCTTTAGGATGCAGGGCATTGGAAGTTTAGGGATTTGTTTGACACTGGGCGAGATTCGCACTAGATGTTAGTTTTGAGGGCTGGCCGAGGACTTCTTGCTGTTGACGCCCAAATGCTCTCACGGGATTGGTCTACCAAAGACCAACCTGATGTGATGGTGTGTAGCTTTGAGGCACACTGAACAGCCCGAGTCTGCCGTGCAGTCGATGTGGCAGATCGTGGCAAGCATAAGGCTACTTCTCCGCCGTGGGCAAGTCTGCCTGTCGGTCCTTTTATGGCTACAGCAGCCGTAGCATGTGAAGGCGCGATTTAGGAGCCTCCTGTGCCAAAGCCCTGACAACCAGCTACAAAGCCGGAGGCTGAGTAGATCCCTGCCGCAAGCTTGCACAGCATCTGCTACCAGCGGGCCGCGAGATGTTTCACAGAAGTCTATATTCGGGTAAACAAATCACCACAACGACAAACACATGCCTGACCATGGCAGTACAGCAACGACCGGAGCAAATGTGCTCGTGATAACCGGTGCCGATGATAGCCATGAGTGTGATAGAGGTCACTTCCCACCAGGGTGAGACCTCTAATCCTAAAGTGCCTACATCAAAGATGTAACCATGGCAGCACGCGCAATCGGACTAGTGGAGATCGTGGGAGCATGAAAATTTACGGTTCGATTGGTCCCTGGTTCCCCTTGTAGGGATCCCTACTCCATGGTGAGGCACTACAACGACAATTCTCCTTGAGAGGTCCTTTATCAAGCACCCCTACTAAGCCACAAAAGTTTAAGGAATATGCCTTTAGTACACGTGGCCTGTTCGGGATCCCTACTGCAACTCTAAGGAATCTCCTTCAGCTACGGCTTCCTTCTTGGGGTTCTTACACTTACCCAGTAGCCTATAGGGCACTATTCCTCAAGGCAGCTCTGGGTCGCAAGCATCCTTCAGAAGGCTCGCCAGCGCTGATGGCAGGCCGGACTGCACAATGTTGGCTGACTTACGCATCTAGGAATCGAGGGTTCGCATTTTTGTTTGCCTCCTGCCTGGCTAGGACGAGCCCACGATGCAGGTCGGGTTAGCGATTAGGTTCCAGGGTTCAGAGTCTACAAGGTTTCAGGCTCTATAGGGCTGAGGTTTGCGGTTCTCAGTCTCACACCAAGCAGAGAAGGAAGCCTTCACGACGACGGACCGGGAACCACCCCCAACGCAGGGGTTAAAAGTATAGACCATAAACCACACATCGGACACAGGCACACCGGCACCAAAAAAGGCTTTGCACCCAAACCAAGCAGCCAATCCGGAGTAACGACCAAACGACTCACACAACCCCAGAGGGACGCACACACTCGCTGCGCCTGAACTCGAACTTCGATGAAAGGCACCGGGAACATCCCAACAAGCCTCCCTGAAGTTCGGGAAGAGTTCGGGCAAGAACATTTAGGGTGGATTTCTGGTTCCCTGTTGAACATTTTTGATTCTTATTCTGGTTTTATTATAGCAAAATGTAAAAAATGTATCCAACAAGGACCCAGATTAACTGTTCCCGGATTTAAAGGGTGTTGCAGTTCAGGCTTAAAGCTTTGTGCCTCCTTCCTAGCTAGCGAGCGTAGCGAACACCAGAATTCAGGGTTCCAATGAACCTTTACTCCCAACACCTTCGTACTTGAACATCCGCCTCCCGAGCTCCCCATCCGAACACAGAACACCCAACGATAAGCCCTGAGACCCGAGAAACAGTATGCGAATCTCTTGAAACAACGGCCGAGTTGCTCCAAACTTCGGCTCGCGTTTGAAGTGCCTAGTACAAGCTCTGCATACCTCAAATCGGCCTCGGAAGCTTCAAAACCGAGAGTACCCACTGACCTCGACTAAACAGCAAGCCCTGATGCTCTTCGTGTCGCCTTTCCGGTCCAAGCACTTGGGAACCTGACAGCTTTTTTGCAAGGCACCCCACTACAGCTTGTAGGCCTCATGGAGGGTTTCGGGACTCTGCAATCTCTCCAAATGGTGTCTCTTTCGGCTGTGTTGTTTCCGCGTCAATTCCGAAGCTTTTCCCATCAGGATTCCGGTTTGACTATGCCTGGCAAGCGGCAGGGGCAGAATGCTACGGAACGTCATTACTGTGCAGGCTAGGTCGAGCTTTTGACGAGTTTTGTTCGGAGCAGTCTGACATTGGTTTGGGCCACCGCACCTGCTGGAAGGTTCATGGAGCCTCGCAACATGAGTAACACAATTGGGGTTATTAGTATTAATGCTCCAAAGTAGTTAACCATACTGACTAAGAAGTGGTAGTGTTCGAATCGTCGGTACTGCTTTGCAGCACACCACACACTGTCGCGGAACATGTCAG